ACACCAAAAATTTTGTGGTTTCTCCACAGCTATATCACTTTTTAGCCAGAAGAAAGATCTCTCTGCCCTTGGTTGTTCTGGTCTCTAAAATAAAAATAAGAAAGTAACTCAAAAAACAAAACAAAACAAAACACATTTTCAGTCTCTGAAATTGAAATTTGTCTTACAGTCAATGTCAACCCAGTTGACTGCCGGGGTGACTTTGTTTGTTAGTGTTACATAGAATGATGGTGCACATTAGTAACATGTACTCATGCTGTAAAAGTTTGTTGCGGGTCTGCAGTAGCCAAAAAGCTCAGCTATTTCTGAAGAAAAGACTGGAGCTGTGGCAGAGACATCCAGCGGAATGCAGGATAAGAACAAAAAATAATTCTATACCCTGCTGTGATAACTAGAACACACTGCTAAATGAAAAAGGATAGAGGGAAAATGTCAGTCAGATGCACCTGTTTATATGCAAGATGGGTATATACATATTTATGTGTACATATAAATATTCTTATGTATTCAAAAATGAAAATGAGACAAAAAGGTTTAATTGTATTAAAAAGGTAGTTAGCAAGCTATGGAAAGTAAAAGAATAAAGTAGAAGGAACAAGAATAAAAAGTCAACTTTTCAGAATATTAAAAAATAAGAAAAGAAAAAAGAAAAACCCTGGTATACTCTCCTTTGTTTCTGAGAATATCCTATATTCTTTGGCTGTTTTATGTTCAGTTTTCATGTTAGAGTTTCCTCAAATGTCTGGTGATTCTTAGTTGTCAGTGTATATTGAGTTCAAGTGACTATAAGTTGTGTATGAATGAGTGGAGTTTGGAGACTTTGGGTTTCACTGTAGCAAATAGTCAAGCACAAAGTTATTTTTCACTGTTCATCTTTTCTGGATGGGTTGGGCAGGTCTGCGTATATAAGCCCATAACATCCAGATAGAGAATGTATGCAGGACCCTAATGTTCTTAATACTGGCATCCTCAGTTGTCTTTCTTCAACATAGCATGTCACTACCTTTGTTATTGTCATTCAGTTCTCAGTTTTGTTTGATTCAGTTTCTGAGCAAAATAAGCCTTCTGTATTTTGCTAGGAAGTTAGTTGCCTAGCTAAAGATAAGCAAAAACATACTTTCAAAAATTTCCATTGCTTTCAATTTTGCTTCTCACCTCCACTTCAAAGGTACTTCTCCCTTGAGCCTTTGAATAGTCTGAAAAGCAGCACTTGCCTTCTAAATTTGTAGACCTTTTCCTTTTATACACATTTATTTTTGTTATTTTTAAATTGTGCTTGTGTATGTGCACAAAAGGACACTGGATTCCTTGGAGACGACAATCTTCTACCAATATGACCTTGTAGTTTGACTTTCATGATTGTACCTTTAATAAACTAATGGTTTGACAGAATAAAAGAGCTCTGGTAACATAAATAAGGGAACAATAACTACATCAAGAACCCAAATTCCTTTACTCATTGAAGGCTACTATTAATGTTGGCCCCACCCAATGAATTTCACTTGAGATGGAGAACTGAACACAGGTCCTCTGCTAGAGTACCCTTGCCATGGGGCCATCTCTCTAGCCCCTTACAGACCTTTTCTGCTGTGGAAACCAAATGAATGAGCTCAGCTGCCAGAACACTGTTGCTTTTTAATAGGTAAAAGAGCAATACAGCAACCTTTTCCTCCACGAAGAACATACGCACTTTAAAAGCCCACAAATAAGGAACAAGAAAAGCCAACTACTTCTATGTACAACTATGTACAACCCAACTACTTCTATGTACAAAACAGCAGCATTGTGAGAATTGGAAATGATGCAATTGTTAATGAGGGTTGTAATTTTGGCTCAGTATCATGTGTCTCGAATAAAGTCTCTGTTCTGCTCAACTGGGCCCACTCTTTAACCCTTCAACAATTCTAACTTTGGGGCAACTATGCACGAACTTCCCTTCCTATTAGCCAAGTGTTTATATGACATCAAACCAAACACAGTGCCAACAGCATATTCACAGGGCTGCCAGATAACATAAAGCCAGTGAAATCTGATTTTCAGATAACTGTTTTTTAGTATATGTCCATTATGTCATCATTTCTATGGCATTCAAATTTATTTGGGTGTCCTATATATTTTCCCCCTCATTCCTTCCTTTAATAAGTTAAAAAAAATTCTGTGCTAGATGCCTCATTTTTATTTGCTAATTTGGCAACCTGACATATTTAAGGGAACAAACATTAAGCAAATGTGATCAACAAAGTAAAGTTGTGTTCAAAGAAGGAAATTTGGCTCTTATGTGTCACAATCATTTTGCATTCCCAATGTGTGAATTAGAGTAGGCACTCCTATTTATTACTGAATAGACAACTCAACTTCTAAGAGAAGGCACTGTGCTAACACTGAGGTCAAAAGCGGAATGTCATCTTAGTATATATGCATCAGTATGCAGACAACACAAGTCATTTCTAAGGTCTTAATTGCTCCAAATCTCCTCTAATACTGAAACATTATTTTTATTACAGGGAAATTTTTAAGTAGGTACATGATAGGAGTCACAGTACCAAATTCCCCTGGATTGGACCTACCTGTTGAGAGCCAGGCCAATCCAAGGCTCTCAGAATACCCAACAAAAGAACAAAGGGAACACTGTTTCTATGTCCTTGCCAGGAGCAGACTTGGCAGGGTCTGGTCTGATGCCAGGTCCAGGGTCTCTAAGGAATTAAGGTTTCAGTTCCTGGGAAACTGACTTTTCTTCCTGTAGAGACTGGAGTTGTCAATCCCAAGGCCACTAGGTTCTTGGTCTGTGATGGGCTTGAGAGATCCTGTGTTCTCTTTATGTGATTTTGCTTGATTAGCTTCCTGCTGATTGTGTCCCACTTCTCCCCTTGCATACAGTATACAAGGTGCTGAATTTCTCAATAAACTTGCTGGCGTGAGCCATTAGCTTGTGCAAGACCTCCTGATCCCAAATTTCCCTGTTATCTTTATTATTTCTCACCCAGGCTTCTCTCTCCTGTGAACCTATCAAGGCTTCCTCCAGAGCATGGCTTTTTCCTTTTTTTAGGAAACAGATGAGATTATGACATGATCATGGATGTCTATGACTCAAGGTATCTGGAATGCTTCAACAAAATACCACTTATTATCATTAAGAAAAACATTTTGAAATTTTTTATTAATGTCACCTAGTTAAGAAACCCTGTTATTTTATTTTGAGAACTATATTCATATATATATATATATATATTCTTTAAATATGGTATAATTTTCCTTGATCCTACTTGTAGTGAATACATTTAACCAGAAGCCCACACATGGGAAATGTGAGAGTGGTAAATTCATTCCAATACCCAAGCCTCTGGCATATAAGAATAAGCAACAGCTTAAGGCTTTCATTTTGTACACTTTGGATTAAAATTCAGAAACAAATGTGCTTTCAAATTTGGGTCCTGATGGAATGAGACCTTTTCTTCAAGAGTTTCTTTTCTTCTCTACTTAAAATATACTACTTTATCCTTAAGACAAGACAAATCTGGTTTAGCACTTTACTCTCTTAAAATCTGCTAAATTTTACAGAATTATTAGTTTCAATTTTTACTACTTTTGCACTCAATTATGGATAATATAAAAAAGCAAAACTAAAATGAAGATAAATATTATTAATAACCTGCTTTCTGATTCCATTTAGGTGCTCAGCTATCTAGGATCACACATACATTTTACTATTTTAGTGTATGTAAAAAGATTTAACAGTCCTATCCATTTTCTTTATGATGATACTTGTTTTGACTCAAACAAACATAGCAGGAAACATTTACAAGGACATATACCATTCTTATTCAGCCAAAAAAAAAAAAAAAAAAAAAAGAAAACTTACCTACTTAGAAAACCATACTGAGCTGGGCAGTGAAGGCACATGCCTTTAATCCCAGCACTCAGGAGGCAGAGGCAGGTAGACCTCTGTGAGTTCAAGGCCAGCCTGGTCTACAGAGCTAGCTTCAGGATAGCTAGGGTTTTTACACAGAGAAACCTTGTCTTGAAAAAACAAAAAAAAAAAAAAAAAAAAAAAAACTCTACTGCTAATAAAACTCTTAATTGCAGATCAGGATAGTTTCATAGGAAGTTTCTTTAAAATTAGAGGATTTCTGAAATGTTTACAATGTATGCAAACATAAACTTCTGTTCCAGGAAATTAATACAGGTAAAATATTTTAACCCTTTTACAATTAATACTGAAAACACTGCTTCTGGTGAAAGTTGATTCTTTCCATAATTTGAATATGTTTATTTGCTCTTGAAAAAAGTCTTGATACCAAGATTTAAGAAACACATTCCTTACAGAAGTCTGTTTAAATCTAGGGTATGATCTTATAGGCCAAATTAGCCAGAGAGTCTGGTGGAGGCCATGATTCAGTGTTCATGAAATAAATGAAGATAGCTTTACTAGGCGTGGAGTAGGGTAGGCTAGGTTTGAAATCATATTTTCCACCTCCCCACTAAATACAACAAACAAGAACCCTTAAAAGGTGTCATATGAATATATCAATTCTTTGTATAATTATTTCAGTTAATTGAATTTCCTCCCTAAAATAATTTCTTAGAGGGCATGCTCAAACATTACATTTTCTTTAGTTGGGTGACAAGACCTTTGAGTCATTAAGTAGTAGGTAATATTTTAGCTTGTTAGGAAATATTAATTGGTTGAGAAGGCATCAGTTTTCCAAATATAGGGTTTGTGATTTATTTTGTAGCTCTTAAATTTTTGGCTTTATTTACATATTGAGTGTTCTGTCTGCATGTACGTATATGTACCACATGCATTCCTGGTACCCAGGTTAGTCAGAAGAGTGTTGGATCCTCTGGACTGGAGTTATAGTTTTAAGCCACATTGTGGCTGCTGGGAATTGAACCTGAACCTCTGCAATAACAAGCACCCTTAACCTATGAGCTAAGTCTCCTGCTCCCTGTACCCTTTCCTAAATAAGCAACACTAGTATCAAAGGAAATGCTTACTGTTATCATGAAGCAGTCAGGAGTTTGTTAACTGCCTTCTGGAGATCAGTAGTAGGAAATAGTGTGAAAAAATTCAGTGCAGGCTGTTTCTTTAACTGCCTTTGTCAGGCAGTCACAGCGACAAGAAGAAATGTCAGAGTCAGAGAAATGATTTACATGTCCACGTTTGGACATGGCTCTACTCAATGTTCGCATTAGCTGTTCGTTGGCAAACTGTAATGTTCCTGTAGAGCAGCATGATGTCTAGAGAGCTGGCTGGGATTTTTAAGGGGCTTTTGAAAAGGTAGGACCCCACAAGAGGCTAGAGGGGGCCATTCAGGAACTGGTTCTAGTTTGGGGACACAATGGGAGAGTCTTAGACCTGTCCTTTGAGGTTTGTGGACTGGATTGTTTTGTTTTAAGAGTTCAGCATGACACAACCAAGAGTTGAGATCTAAAAGTTTCAAGTTTTAGAATATTTTAAAAGGTCTTTAACCTGGCAGGAAAGACTCTCAAGAGGTGTTAGGTTGGGCATCATGGGGCCTTCTTCTTCAGAGAAATCCCATCATTCTTTCTTCTTCACTTTCTGACTCTGTTAAGTGATCAGGAGATGAAATTCTGGGACCCATTAGAATAGTGGTTCTCAACCTGTGGCTAGCAACCCCTTTGGGAAACCCCTATCTCCCAAAATATTTACATTATGATTTATAACAATAGCAAATTTACAGTTATGAAGTAGCAATGAAAATCAGTTTATGGTGAGGGGGTGTCACCACAAAATGAGGAACTGTATTAAAGGGTCTCAGCATTAGGAAGGTTGAAAACCATTGTTTTTTAGAACAAAATAGAACAGAACCAGAAAAAGGTGACAATTTAAGGCAGAAGAACATAGACCTTCAACACTGGTAAATAGAAATAAAAAAATCTTTTCATGAATTTTAATTTGTCTCTCTGTCCATTGTATATATAAGGTATGCTTCAGGCCCACACTGTGCAGTCCTTGAAGATTATGCTGTGCACTATTCACTCACAAGGAAGATATGTTAGTCCTCAGGACCAGTTCAATGTGGAAAAGTGTTAGTCACTTACCAGTGAACTTTCTTCACACCTGGCTCAAGAAGATAAGAGTTCTCATCTAGGCAAACTGATTCTCAGTGGTCTCAACTGGTAGTGATACAACGGAGAAACACTTTGTGTACTTGGTTTTGTTGGCATGACAATATATCTACTTGGTAATTAAAGATCATTAGTTGTCTGCCAGTGGAGATACTGTGCAGTAGTTATGATCTGGTAAACTGTCAATTCATCCGTTGTTCAAAGATCTGATGTTTTCTATAGGTAATTCAATGCCCTTTGAAATGGTGTCTCAGTTATTGGACCATCTTGAACAGTAGCCTCAACTTTCAACCTGTGAACAAGACTAGAGATATATTAAGGGCTAAATGTACTAAGAAACATTACTATTACTGTTAATTTAGGGCTTTCAAGAAAATGGATGCTGAGCAAGGCTTATAGATTTTCTCATTTCTTTCTTTTTTTTTTTCCCTAGACATAGTCTCCCTATGTTGTCCTGACAGACCTAGAACTCACTATGTACTCAGAGATGTACCTGCCTCTGCCTCTGAAGTGCTGGGATCAAAGGGCTCCATTTCTATCTTACAGACTAAGGACAATTTTGCAGTTGTGAATAGCTCTTACAGCCACAAAACTGGCCAAGAGTTTGGGCCATTTTATTCCTTTGTTAATTCTTGTGGGCTGCAAGAATATATTATAGAGATTCAGCTGTGTATTAGAGGTAAACTTTGACCGGCCAAGGATTTGTCAAAAGGCAAGCCATTTATTATGAATATTTGGTGCTATCCAGCCTTTAATATTTCACCTGTCTTCTACTATGAAATTCTTGTGTGGCCAAATATTTTCAGACCTGCTGAACTTCTATGTAACTTCCCTGTGGAGCCATTACCTGGATAAGGTCAAGTAAGCCAAGACAAGCTGGCAGGAGATGCATAGCTTTGTTTCTCAAGGCCTTGGTGCTAGCCAGAGCAACTGACTGAGAACAAAAGAGGTTTTTACATATCAAGGTGAGAGGTAGAATAACATTCCTGAGGAGGCAGAGAACCATTGCTCAGGGAAAGAAAGGGCAGGCATTTTTTTTTTTTTTCTGTAGAAATAGAACAGAGAGAAAAGAGGAAGACAAGTCCTTAGAGGGTAAGCAGATCTTGGGTAGAGTTTTCTGAGTGCCAGGAGTATAGAGTAGCAGAGATAGAGAAAGAGGATACAGAGGATGAAGATGAGGCTGGAAGCATAAGAGTTTAGTCATTAGCAAGACTATGAGCTAGGGAACTAGATGGAACTGAAGCTATGGGAACAGGATTTCATCCCAGAGAAATGAAGTAGACAGATAAAGAGCTTGTTATGTCTAGAGTTATTCCTGCCTTGAATGCCTGGTGGAGCTATAGCTGTATTGATAGAATTTTGACTTAGAGGAATAAAGTTAACAGATATAAGAACATAGTGTACATAGATTTTTTTCCCCTCAAATATCCCATGCCGTACGTAGCTAGACCCCAGGCACCCTGGGTACAACAAAGTTAATATACAACTGAACCAATTTGTTTTCACCCCCAAAATTATTTGCGTAAGAGCACATCTCTTATGCCTGCCCCAAACTCTAAATAAAGAATTTATCTTTTTACCTTTAGATGTGTTTGTTGGGATGTTTTAAGGGGCCTATACTGGTAGTAGAGTTGTTAGGTGTCAAGATTCTTGTAGTGACCTATGAAGTAGTAATCATCTGATCAATTTTGTATAGGATGTTAGGGTGTCAGGGAAGTATAACATTCATTAGCTCCTTCTATAAGGAAAGCACATTAAATGTAAATTTCGAGGAAAATCAAATAAAGGTAAGTTCATTTTACCTACAAACTTCTAGACACTACTTAACAGAAGCAAAACAATGTTATTATCAAGTAAGGGTTATCTAAGAAAGAAGAGTAACTTCTTTGCAATTAGTAAGGCTGACCAAAATCTTGATGATTAACAGTTTGGCATACTACTGGAAATCTTAGTCAACATTTTAAATAAATGATACTAAGTTCACACTAGGAAACCAAAACCCAAACATGTAAAGGACAGAGGAGCCAATGAGTAACATGTATCTGAAAAGACATAGGTTAGACATTCCATGCTCTGAGACAGAATAAACAAGTATTATGAAGACACCAACTTTCTGTGACCAGAAGAGTAAAGGGAACACTTGCCACCACAGCAAAGCAAGGCAAAATGCTTATGACTTCATCTTTAAGTCCTAGACATAAATGTGCTCTCCAACCTAGTTTACATTATCTACATCATTCTGAAAAGAATACTTTGTGATATACCTTAAATCTGTATTTTATTGAGATAGGAGGGACTGGCTTTTAATTGTCTTGTCCTTTTATATTTTTCAACAATATATTTATATTGTTGTTTTCATTTCAAATAGACTGCATCTGTAAGATTTCTCAAAGTACTCTTCAAAAGGCTAACTCAACCTTCATTTTTGAATAAGCAACAAAAGAGGTTATTAGAAGACATAAATTCTGTACATACAGCAACGATCCCATTGCTATTTTTTTTTTTTTTTTTTTTGAGACAGGGTTTCTCTGTGTAACAGTCCTGGCTGTCCTGCCAGTCACTCTGTAGACCAGGCTGACCTCAAACTCACAGAGATCCACCTGCCTCTGCCTCCTAAGTGCTGGAGTTAACGGTGTCCGTCACCACCGTCATTGCTATTCTTTTACAGTCCATGTATATATTTCTATATCAAAACAAATTAACCTCATCTATCCTAAACATTTTCACTTGTAACTTAGTTTTCAAAAATTACTGATCTAAAATTCAGAATTCAATAACCTTACAACACATATTATTTGATTTTTGTTATTATCTAAAGTTTGTAAAAGACATGACATTTATTCCTATACATATTTGTCCTTTCCTCACAGAATAAAAGAGACAAGACCTATGTAAGCATTACAATAATGAGACTATGCTGTTTGAATTTAATATAGCATACTGGAAAAGTTCTCAGAGTATAATGCTGAAAACATACGAAACCCATGTAACATTCATTACTCAACCCCATAACGCTAATCAAAACAGTCATACTGACCTCTAGTGGCCAGACTCCCTGTATTTCACGGATGGTGAAATGGCCAGATTAAAAATACTGTAAAGAAACATCATAAGACATTCTTATCAACAAAGCAATAAAGGCAGCAAGATCTAAAACATAGAGACACTTAAAGGCCACAAAAAATTGGTATGTTCTAAGTCTTAGTTTATCAGTTTATTTTACATTAAGAACAAATCACACACACACAGGTTGTCATTTTTATTATCATTTATTAACATTTTATTTATTTTGTGTGTGGTAGATGCATGTTTAGGCCAGAGACTGACAGTGGGTGATTTCACTGATTAAATCTTATTTTTTTGAGACAGGCTCTCAGTGAATCTTGAGCTTATTTTGGCAGACTGGCTGGGCAGTGAACCCCTGGAATCCACTGTCTCTCCCACCCTCAAGTGCTGGGGTTAAAGATGGGCACAACATCTGATTTTTATTTGGGTCCTGGGCATGTGAATTCAGTTCCTCATGCTTGTCCAGCAAGTACTTTACCCATTGACACATCTCCACAGCTTCTGTAGTGATCCCCATAGTAAACACAGTTTTGCATGCTCACCAGCCACATGAACCTAAGCATTTGAAGTGGCACTAGAACACAATAACTGGAATGTTCTAGTTCTCTGCCAAGAGATGCAGTCTTTGTAAAGATAAGAAAAAAAAAAAAGAATATAAGTTATCTTTTTAATAATGTATACTGATGATAATGGCTAGTGATTTTGTATATTTGATTTTTCTAGGCGTTCTTTCCCTGTCTATCGTTCTCAGAATGCACATTCTCAGCTTGGTTCTGCTCCCAGTGATTAACCTGGAGTAACTTTCTCCAGTTGGACATGTTGTTGATTTCAAAGTACAGACACTTAACACCACCATATTCACTTTAACCAGCAAATTGTGTACCTACAAATTTTTAGAAACTAGGAATGAAACAGAATAATTACAGCACATTCCTAGGATGGCATCTCATGGCACCCTGTCTGTCTCAATCTACTCATCTTAAAAGGAGATAGAAATAAAGGATTAAATGAAAAAGTGCTTAGAATGGTGTTTGTCACATTCGAGGAGTCAATACATTTTTTAAGTATTAGTATATATGGATAAAGCTAGGAAATAGTATGGACAAAAAAAGCCAGTTGCATTTATGAGTATTTATACTCTGGATGGTTAAAACACGAAACACGGTGGATACATTCATTCATTCATTCATTCATTCATTCATGCACTTCCTCATGTGGATACATGTAAAAATCTGGGTGGTAAAAATGAAAAAGTACATTCTTCTGATAAGGGAAGGTAGTAACTCAAAAGGCATCCATGTGGATTTGGAATGTTCTAGTTCTCTGCCAAGACGGACCATTCTTATGTCTTCGCAGAGGATGCTGAAGAGCAGGGAAAGTTCTTTGAATTATGAATCAAGCTGATATACAACTAATCACAAGGAAAACAACAGACACAGGAATGCCAATAAACGAAGAGAGACCAGATGACCGAGGCATGAACTCTATACACAGCTACAATGTGTGACACAAATTACTCAAGGGTTGGGTTATAAAAGTCTGGTGAAGAAACAGATGAAGTCTCCCAGTGAGAAGTTAGTCGGGGGCAGCCCTCTTCCTGATACACTTCACCAATGTAGAGTTGAGTTACATTATAGACAGGAGAGGGGGCTGCAATTTTGCAAAATTACCAGGCAATATGCCAAGTGAGTTTCACATTTTGGAGAGGCGTGTCCTAAGCCCAAACTGAGGTATACGTTTTGAAATCATTTTACATCTCCAGTGCGTGGTCTTACCAGGACCCCAAAGTCCTTTTGCAGAGTCTGCGTTCTCCTCAGTTTAGAAGAGTTGTTATGCAGTCTGTAAGGCAGACCCGGGGAGTTGGAGCATCCCCAGCGGCTGCAGCCTAAATTTACCCTGCCATTCTCTTCCCAGGTCCCCAGAATGCCCGACCGACGCCCAGAGTCCGAAGGACTGCAGGATCCCTCACCCAGATGGCCCCCAGAACCCCCTGACTTTCCCGACCCCCGAACGGGCCCCCTCCGTGACTCTCTCAAATGTCTCCTTCGCTCGGACTCCCCCGTCAGGCAGCAGGATCGGAGAGCATGTTCTCAGCAGGCTTTGCTCTCTTCGCGGCGGGTCTTCTCCGCCTTCTCACCTCACACGCAGCAGAGGCACACCAGGAGCCACCGACTCCGACCAGAAAGTTGAACGCCAGCCACAGACCCGCTCCTGGAGGAGGTCACTTCCGGCCACGCCCACGGCGAATGGTCAGAGAAACGCCTCTTCCTACTGGAAAACCAGCAGGCCACACCCCCGGCGCTTGCGTACCAGCAGCGGGAGTTCAGACGGGGGCGGGAATAGTTTGGCCTCTCCCGGCTTCCGGGTCCCGCCTCCCGCGAAAATCCCGCGGGGTCGCGTCCTCCCGCGAGAGTTATTTGAAAACTCCGGCGGTAACCACGCCCCGGGTGCTGGCGGGCCGGTCTGCGGGAAGCCGGGGGAAACTGAGTCCGGGCAGCTTGCGAACTGTAGCCACCCGGGCAGCTCTCGTGGCGGCGCCATGGCGGCGGCGAAGAAGCGGCTTTCTGTGAAGGAGGCTTTCCGGCTGGCGCAGCAGCCACACCAGAACCAGGCGAAGCTGGTGGTGGCTCTGAGCCGCACGTACGGCGCGGTAAGCGGCCTGGCCTCGGCGCCGGCGCTCCCCTCGCTGGCGACCGCTTCCGGGCAAGGTCGGAGTGACCCGAGGGTCAGGTGCTCTGAGGCTTGCCCGAGGTCTCCTGGCCTCTGTCAGTGATCGCGACTCCGGACGACGTCCGCCCCGAGTCTCCTTCAGTGTTCTCCACCCCCCTCCCCGGGCCCCCCGGAGGAGTGATCCGTTATCTTTAGTTTGGCGGTGACTCGGGAGCCCAGTGTTAGGATGCGAAGTGACTCTCATACGCCTTTCTTTCCTTTGGGGTCTCTAGTTCATTATATCCGACCAAGTTATTTCAGCCAACTCCTAAGCTTCAATCAAATTCATGTCACCAAATATCAAAATCATTAGGACCTAGCCTTTCCTATTTACGTTAATGGTGCATCTAGTGGAGCCGTGGGGAATTCAAGGACAGCGAAATTGAGGAGGATAAATTGTTTTGAAGTTCGAGAGAAGTTAAGTAAATGTAAACGTGATTAAGGATATGGGATAGGTTTTGGAAGTTATGCCAAAAGGAAATTGTTGTTTATTGGGAAGGCCTGAATAAAATAAATACAAAACCAGTGTTGATTTTTGAGTTATGCTTGCCGAAGTTAAGCTTGCTTTGCATTAAGCATGGTAAGAAAAACATCGAGGGTTTGAAAGAAGAAATAGAGAATTTTTCATTGTCCGAATCTATGCTTCGTACTTTCTCAGAGGTGCTTTCAGAAGTGTTAGGGCAGTGTTGGGAATAAAGAATTTTTAGTAGTGTAGCTTATGGAGGCGTTCCTTGTGTCTTTCAGATGGATGATAAAACAGCTTTTCAGGACCAGTTTGTCCACTACCTTAAATACGCTCTGGTGGTATATAAACGGGAACCTGCTGTGGAGAGGGTCATAGACTTCGCAGCCAAGTTTGTTACTTCATTTCACCAGACTGATCAGGAAGAGGAAGAGGAAGATGGTGGCATTTTAAATTATTTGTTTACTTTTCTTTTAAAGGTACTGTGAAAACTAGTACTTTGGGGGAAGTAATGAAGAGAATTTCACCATGATGTGTGTCATTTTCGACAGTGAAATATCAGTGATAGAGAAAATGTATGCAAACAAGTCTTTTATAGGAAATCTTAACTGTCATTAAGATAAAAGGGTAACTCCAGCATTGGATTTTTGAACTGCCTGTTTAAATTCTCATGCTTGTTGTAAATGTTTTCTGCCTTGAAGTGAAATATTCCTACAGAGAAGAATATGCTTATTTTTTATATAGCAAGTATTTTTTTGGACCAGGTGAGATTATATTGACTATTTAAGAATGGAATGTGACTAGGAATAATTTTTTGTTTGTTTTTGTATAGTCTCATGAAGCAAACAGCAGTGCAGTCAGATTTAGAGTATGCCAGCTCATTAATAAACTTCTGGGGAGTATGCCAGAAAATGCCCAAATTGATGATGACTTGTTTGATAAAATTAATGAAGCCATGCTTATTAGATTGAAAGATAAGATTCCAAATGTAAGAATACAAGCGGTTTTGGCTCTTTCTCGACTCCAAGATCCCAAGGATGATGACTGCCCAGTAGTTGATGGTATGTATGGTCTCCTACATCTTATTTCAGTATGTTGACTTTGTTAATTTTTCAATTTTTGGATTGAAATGCTTGTGCAGCAAGTCCTGTACCAATAGATTCATTTCCCTAACCCAGCATTGAACTTTTACTTATTAATTATGTATGTCTCTCTGTGTTATGGTAGTCTCAATCCAACAATTTAAAAGAAGAGAATATTATCAGAACTTTGAACTCTGCCTTGCTCTTACTCCAGTTGTATCCCCTTCTTTCAGAGATAGTAATAAATTACAGTGAATTTTGGGTTAATTGCCTTATTTACCTAAAAAACTAAACTTTAAACTATCACACGTTTGTTTCAGTGTTAAATTTTGTTTGCCATTTTTTTTTTTGCACATTATACTACTTTTTTGTGTCTTTGTTTTTTCCCTTCAGAATTATTAGTAACTTTAGCATTCGTTTAGGAGGGTATATTTTTATTTCTGCTCTATTCTAATGTTTTGTTTTATGGTGTATATTCTTCATGTTAATGGCCACTCTAGTTTGCAAAAAAAGTTGCCTATACAAGAGTATGCC